AACCAAGAACACTATCCGGCTTCATCTTACTACTTATATACACTAAATCGAGTCAATAGATTAAAAATCATCTTATTAAATCTTTGCCTAACTGTTTACCTGTTGTAATTCCAGGTTGTTTATTTAAAGTTAATTATAATGTTTTCATTGCCTCGTTAATCGGAATGTTAATGTACATAGTCAGTTTAACAAAATGACCAGCAAATCTCCTGTTTCAATCGCCTGATCATTAGGTTACTTTATAAACTGATAAGAGTTCTTTACCGAAACCTCTGGTTTCCAACGAGGCCACACCACGAATTCATTCTAACTTTTCCTTCGAAATGCGAGGTCATGCCATGCTAAAAATTTATTCCGACTGTATACTATCAGGCGCTAAAGCACCGAATGAGCAAAAAATCCCTTCGGCTAATCAGAGCCATGTTGATCATCTTTCCGAATAATGTGTTTGTCCAAATTATTTTGTAGCAATGCACTTGCTTACCTTTCCCCAAGCGGAAATGACCCGCTCCAACCGCACCCGCGTCTCAAACAGTCGTTTTTTTGAGGCTGCCTCATTGCCCTTCACAGGGTCTACGAACAGCACAAAATTGTGATTATCGTCGAGTCGTACTGGCTCTTTTACACTCTGCGTCCCTCTGCAATCTGATTTGACAAAGTAGGAAGAAGGCATACAGCTTCGAGGCAAGAGTATAAGAAGCAAAATCGGGCTTAATTGTAGCATGATAGGGGTCATCCTCAAAGTAAGTAATTATCATTACAGAAGTTATAGCAAATATTCTAGTGTACTGTTATAGACGATAGCCATTTGCATCTACTAAAGTTGTGATTAGTTGTGTTACTCACAAGAGACCATTAAGATTTATAGGCACACAGAAGATATTTATTTAGTTTAGTGACATTAACAAATGGTATCTAGGGCTAAACAGAAATCGTCGCAGTGGAAGTTAAATGTAGCAATGGCGCCGTAATCATGAGTGAATCATCGTCGAGATCTCATTATGAGCCGAACAAGCATCATATTAATTCTGAATGGATCCCCTTTGAATAGCCTTTAGGTGCCCTAGTTTTTAAATAGTATGAAAAAGATCTGCGGAGATCTCAGCCCTGTGCTAGATATTTTTGATGTAGAAAAAGTTTCAAAAATCAAGAGCAGAAGCTGATATGCGAAGAAAAGATGTGTTTAGAGGGATCGCTAGGCTCATAATTGTTGAGTTTACTTCCATTCCGAGGGTAAATGTACTTTCATCACACACTTTTACTCGAAATAGAAGTGAGCTCAACAGTCTGAAAGCTGATAGTTTTACCAAAATAGATGCTCTGAAGTATTGACTGATAAAAAGTTAAAACATTTTTGCATGGGATATTCACAGTTTTCTGCAAAAATATGGCTTATGCATTGAACTTTACAGAAATATGTCTTACTCACCTTTGTACACTGAAGGATTGAAAACAATTTCTGTTCATTTTGAAATTTTATTAAGCATAGTATTCGACCAAGAATGCATACACTTTTGCATACTAGTGAAGATATCCTTTTCGTGTGCCTTCATGATAAATTATGGAAAAATTAATTCTCTCTATATGAGATGTACAAGTAGTAGAATTTTCACACAATGATATGAGTAGAGATGACGTTTCCATTGAATTGCACCTAGCCTTGCCTTCCCAAACGTTGTTCTCATCTAGGGTGGATTGAAATTTCGACCTCGCCTAGGTCTTATCAACACCCCCAGTGGGAGTCGAACCGTGACAGTGCAGTATGTGAACTTGGCACTCTGCTTATGTACGAAAAATTAATTCTCTCTTTAAATACACGAAGCCTATCAATACAAAAATATGATCGCTTCAAGAGCCCTTGTCTGATGCTCGATCTCATCTGTCCAAAGGCTTGATGGCCAGTAAGTAAATCTGGCTTTTCCATAGCCAAATTTTACCCCACCCACCCATTGTAAGCTCACATGTTGCGCCGACCACAGGTTCGGTGCTAGAATCAACCTTGACTCTGATGCTGTAAACTTTAGACGAGGG